GGCAGATTGAAGGAAAAAGGAGACCTAAGCCATCTCCATCCTCCATAGTCCATTTTACCTTTTTGAGGCGAAATGGGAACTAGAGAAATTAACTTCTATATAGGATAGCTCTACTTAAAACACAGATTTGCTGAGTTATGGTCAGGTAAATGACTAATTAAGGCTGATTCTCAAGCAGAGCTGGCTGAGTGTTGGAGGAGTACATAAACAAGCCTGTGGGGCAGCCCCCACCCCCACCCCACCCCCACAAGAGCTGGAGGGAAAAGACTGGGAAGCAGGATGAGAGAACAAGCTGGTCTGAAACCAGTTCCCACCTCCTCTCAGGGGAGGACAACACTCTGCTCTTTCTCTCCAGTCATTTCTATTCACACAAGACAAAGCAGATAATGAAAAGCAAAAACCCATCGAGAAAAGCTTCTACTTAAGAAAAAAGGTAGGACTACTTCCATTATGCCGGAGGGAGAGCTGGGTCTGCCAGCTGCCTTTGGACAATTGAGTTCCTACTGGGTGCCAAGCATGTCATTATCTCTTATAATCCTCACAGCAATTCTCTGAGGTAGGTATGATTATCCCCTTTTATAGATAAGGACAAAACCTGAGTTAGACTAAGTAATTTGCCTGAGATCACCAGCTAGGAAGTGACTATCAGAATGAAGTCTGAATCTGGCTGACTCAGGCAGCACTCTCCCTCCATCCCCAGCTTTTTCCTCCTCACCCCTTCCCACAAACCTGATGTCTTTTCTAACTCCATCTATAAACTATATTTTTGTGAGGCAGTTTTGTGAGTGTTCAGAAGGGTGTAATCCCTGGGATGCGAAGAAATCCTGAGAGCCACCAACTCAGACTGTCTAAAACCTCCCTCTCCCACCTAAGCAGAAGGGGTCTTCTAGCATATTCTGCCCGAGCACCCGCGTGAGGGCGAGGGCACACATGCAGCCTGCTTGAAGCAGATGCCAGCTCCCTTTCTTCTCCGTGCCTTGCCCCACCCCCAGGGTCATTCTTCCCAAGTTCTCAGCTGCTTTGTGCCCCTCATTAGGTGTTTCTCTTTCAGGGGAGAACCCACTAGACCTGAGAAAACCCAAAGTGTTTTTTCCTTCCAAAATGCCACCAAATATTTATTTTCTTAGACCAATGGTTCTCAAATGTTAGGCTGCCTATGAATCCGCTGGAGGGCTTGCTAAAACACTGACTCCTGTCTTGCGAATTAACAATATGTAACGCTCTGGCCCAGAGTAGGCATTCGGTAAATGTTCCTTCCCTTTTTATGTTACATGTTACATGATCCTCAGTTGTCCTGATTTAAGTTTATCCTGGTGTTCTCCAGACTTTGGGCAGCAGCTTCCTTGAATTAACACGTTCACAAGGCGGAAAATCAGGGGCGTTATTACCGGTTTATTCGAGCTGTGTGAAGAAGAAAAATGTAACACACTTGTGCCCTCTCATGTCTACACGGCATGGACAAGAGACACTGCAGTGTAACCACAGGTGTGCTGCATTTATGAGAAGCTATCATTTCTTTAGAAAATTATTCCGTTCAAATGTATTTGAAATGTTTTGAGGAAAAGAGGGCTGTTCTTTAAGAACTAAAAGCAAATGGTAAAATCTGCTAGAAGCTTACTAACGCCACTGAGAGGCAAAAATGTTTGCTAGAGGTTAGGCCCTGATCAGAAGGGAAGCAGTGGGGGACTCGGGAGACAGCTGTCAAAGAATCTTGCCTTCCGCGGGGGACGATCATTATGGAAGAGGGAACCTGGTGGGCTTTTATCAACTCCAGAGAAGTGGTTCTCAAAGAGTGATCTGTGGGCCCGCAGCAACACGACCTGAGATCTTGACAGAATTGCATATTTTCTGGTCTCACCACAGACCTACTGACTCAGAAACCCTGGGCGTGGGGCTCAGAAATCTGTTTTAGCAAGCCCTCCTGGAGATTCTGATGAAGAGGGAAGTTTAGAAAAATTGCTCTAGGACAGTGTTCTCAAAGAAAGGAACAAAAAGGGTAGAAAGGACATCGACCTGAGATTTTAGCTGTGACTCTGGTTTGTCACTCCCTGTAGAGTCCTTCAGAAGGACAATTAAAAGTCATTGTAGGGGGCCAGCCCTGATGGCCTAGTGGTTAGAGTTCCGCACTCACTGCTTCTGTGGCCCTGGTTCGGTTCCTTGGGTGTGGAACCACACCACCCCTCTGTCTCTTGTCATGCTGTGCTGGTGGCTCACAGATAAGAACTGGAAGCACTTACAACTAGGATATACAACCATGCTCTGGGGCTTTGGGGGAAAAAAATTAGAAAAAAAAAATGTAATAGTAGGGCAGGAGAGAGGTGCAGGTGATTCTCACCCCTGGCTGCACATTAGAACCACTTGGAGGTATTTAAAAAGAAAACACCATTCCAAGGTGGTTTTACCACCACCAAAAACAAAACCAAACAAACAAAAGCCTCCAAACCAAAAAGAACCACCTCAACAAAAACTCACTCTGGGCTGCCTCCTAGCAATTCTTATTTCCTTATCCTGAGGTGGGGCCCCAAGCTCCCATATTGTTAAGAGTTCCTCAGATGACTCTAATGTGGGGACTTGGATTGAGAATCACTGAGTTGTAGAGACTGGAAGTTTGGAACACTGCAAAACTTAAAATACCACAAGAAAAAGTTAGCGATATTTCCTTAAGGCACAGTTTAATTTAACTGAGCACTGGATGGTAACAGCTACCACTTGGCCCAGTTATCAGAGCTCCTGTGGCAATTAGGAGTCTCTGTAGATTGCAAGGTCACTGCCATTGCTCCTAGTAGGACTTGTCAGCAGGCTTTACAGGGCTGCTGGGCCCATACACAAGTAGTGTTGTATCCCTTTAAACCGAGCCCACTGCCCCTTTTGCAACCATGCTCTGTGTGAGGGGAAAGCAGTCAAGCTCATGGAAAGAATTTTGATCTCAGAATACGAAAATCCACATTGGAGCACCTACCTTGCCGCTAACCAGCTGTACAATTAGGTGAAATAACTGAAATGAGCTGCACCTGTTTCCTTATCTGTCCTACTCAATAAGCTTCCTCCTGGCTCTAAAATAAAAGCTTTACTCATAGTCTCCTTTGTTTCCTGCCAAGCAGACACTTTTGCATTTATATATTGTTGAGACAACATAGTCCAATTCAACACAGATCTCAGTCCTTAAGTCTTATTCCTTTGACTTTTTCATTTATTAAAGTTAACCTTTCACTTTTCAATAAATAAGATTGATTCTCTAAGGGAAATGCAGAAATTGCTAGAATTATGTTCACACTATGATCTGAGAATGTCCACTTTACTTTTTCCAACTGTAAAATCACAAAAGACACCAGGTGCAATCCATTAAGTTACCTGTAAAATCAAGTGTTAATGAAAAAAATGGACTCGGCCATAGAAAGTAAGAAGCCTCTATGGCGGCTCTTTTTTTGATTAGACTGCTGTTAGATTTGATATCATGATTCTTTTTTATTATGAAGCCAACTTATAAGCCAGGACTGAGCAGAGCTTGGTTGTAGCACATTCCTTTCCTTTCATAAACGATGCTCCAGATAGTATGTGATTCTGAGAGGTACCATATGAAGCGTATCACACAATTATTACGGTCCATTCATCATGGTTGGTTTCAACTGCTGGGTTTGGAAACCATACAAAGATCAGATTCTAAATGGAGTACTTAGGAAGGAGACAGATATGGCCTCTATCTTTACTGCTTCTGTACTCGAACCTTCTAACATTTTAATGTGTAAATATTCCGTCTGCTGTAGCATAAAAGCTGTCTCTCTCTTCCCATCTCTCTCTCTCCCACCCACCTTCCCTCTTTCCCTCTTACCTAACATATCTCCAAATATTATTAAATTGGAAAAGCTCACCCGAGAGTTTCAGGTAAGGTTTTATTTTTGTTGAGGCACAGGTCTATCGATAAATGCCAATTTTCACTTACATGCTTTTAACAAACCTCGATACGCATGTGTGTGCAAACACACAGATTTACAGCCTCAATAGCAAAACTACTTCCTTTTCTTTAAACATGGTCTTGGAGGCAGTCACATGGGCCTCCACTCAAGTTTGAGGACTCGAACTAGGAAGTACTGGACTGGAGGAAATGAGACCTCTAGTTAAAGACAGACAGTACTTTCTAACTAGCATGAAAGAATAAGTGATTGTTATCAGGAAAGGTAGATATTTTTTGGATTTCAAAAAAATCCTTCACATAATTAGCAGATGGGAATGAAAAATGGCATTGTGATTCAGCAAGCAGAGCCTACATGTACCTCTCACAGTTAGGTCTATGTGGCTTGTGAAGAATATTTTTCGTTATAACAGTCATTTAAAATCACGTATGGCAACATACTGAATTTAGACCCATAGTGTTGAATTGCTGTACCACAAAGAGTTAAACCAAATTTTTAAAAAACAACACACTCATCATCTTGCTTTCAATCAAAATATTAATGTTAGCGAGAGCAAAATTATTTGAAGGATTGATAAATATTTTAAACATTGTGAATTCTATCTCCTTTTCAATTTCCATTTCATGTATATTTATAATACACATATGTAATATGTAACATATATTACATATATAATATATTGATATTTCATGTTTATAAAGGAAGGCCACCTACGTAGGGGACAATCTATGACAGAAAATTAGTAACAAAAACGATCCTAAATGGATGAATTAGGGTATTGGGTTCATCTACAAGCAAAGGCAGTCCTTTTTTGAAAACAAACATCAATTCAAAATAACAAACCAAAACCCCTGCAAATCGTATTGAGGATTTATAAGAAGGTGATTGCTTTAATTCAGCAAGAAAGGTGCAAACTATATATCAAGGCAAGTTCTCCAGCTATGGGAAGTATTTCAAACATGCATTAAGACTTTGACAAGTAGAGTTACTTTGATGATATAATTTGTGTGGTACTGTGAGACTTGGGGAAATTAGATGCCTAAGAGATTTCTCACTACCCATTTTATGTCCGCTGACACTCAGTCATACCTCCTGCTCTTCTCTCTTCCATCATATGTGGATATAAACAAAAATCTCAGGCAAGAGAAATTTCAAGCTAAAAAAAAAAAAAAGATGGTTGGATCAATAGGTAGGTAGATGTATAGGTAAATGGAGAAGAAATATTTCAGCACCACTCCCAAGTCTCCATACCTTTTAAAATCAACACTATTAATAAAAAATTATTTGAGTCCACATCCCAAATTTTATATCTTTGTTTATAAATTGCATAAAAGTACTATTGTACCAATATATAACTGTTAATAATATGTATTGAAACAGCAAAAATTTTTTTTAAAGATTGGCACCTGAGCTAACATGTGGCCAATCTTCTCTTTTTCTTCTTCTCCCCAAAGCACCCCAGTACATAGTTGTATATTCCAGTTGTAGGTCCTTCTGGTTATGCCATGTGGGATACCACCTCAGCATGGCTCAATGAGCAGTACTAGGTCTGTGCCCAGGATCTGAACCTGCGAAACCCTGGGCCGCCAAATTGGAGCACGAGTACTTAACCACTCGGCCATGGGGATGGTCCCCCAGAGTAAAATATTTTTATGTTGGTTTATAGCATATCCAGTGGAGTATTATTCAGCTTTTTAATCTGCTTTATAATCTTCCTCTATCTTTCATTAGGTATGAGAGGTAGTTTTTGTTCACTGAAGACTTTCTGAGTTCCTACTATTTCCTAGGTCCTATGCTGATATCTCTAGGTGATACATAGTTGAAATAGGCTTTATATATATATATATGTGGGCTTTATATATATTCAAAAATATAAGATATATAGTATACTATATAATGCATATATATAGTATAGTAACATATGCCTTATATATTAATATATGCTTTATATAGTATACTATAGATTGCATATATAAATATATGCTTTATATATAGTATATATAAAATATGTATTATCTTTTAAATTTAAAGTGTTTTATTAATAATGGACAGTGCCAATGCATATGTTATAAATGAGGAACTTATAGTGTATTCTTATTAGCTCTCAATTATAATTTAAAATAAACGTGAGTGTGAGACATAAATTATGAGTTAAGATTTTCAGATAAGTAGGCTAAGAACAGGAATGGAATTCAAAGTCTGTTTGAGAACTTAGTAAGTGCCAAGCATTGTGCTAAATTTTTCTTTGTGCATTTTCTCATTTCATCCTTTTAAAATACCTCATAATCTCTATGACTTTCAGTTTACAAACAAGCGAACAGTCTTAGGAGAGATTTTGTGATTTACCCAATATGACACAGCCACAAAAAAGAAGATCCAAGACAAAAATTCAGATCATTCTGGCTAATAGCTAAGGCTCTGGAGTCAATTATAGATTGACTAATATGGATGCTCCAGAGTTTCATTGAGATTAAAATCAACAGCATTTAAATACAGTTTCCGAGGGCATGTTCGGATAAGTCGCTTGTAAGAAAGCATTCTTGTGGTTTGCTTTATTATGAATTAATGATAACTTAGGCTATCAACTCTGCCAAATTTTAACATAAATTCTATAACTGTTTTTATAACAGTTAAAGCTTGTTCTTAGAAAAATGCGTGAGTGGGTATTTGTTAAAAATTATGAAATACAACCAGCCAAACTAGGAGACTAATTGCTTAATCCTTCCTTGTGATTATACATATTTCCTTTATAGAAGCACATAATACACAATATCTCAGAACAGAGCTGACGTTGTATCACAGATTCATTTATTTTCTTCTGATGAGGGATTTAACCTCACTCTAAATGCAGCATCTCTCTCTGTCTTTCTCTATGTGTCCTCCTTCTAACTTCCAGATAAAACTCCTTAGAAGAGATAATATTTTCTCAGTGAAATTTCATGGCCACCCTCCTTGTAATATTTCTCGTTTCTGGAGGCCACATCCTGGGGTCAAGGAGGTTGCCCCTGAACTCAGTCCCCTCTGTGGTAACACAATGACCCTTCAGCTGAGCTCCTTAATGAGTGTGTCGGAAACATACTTCTAATGAAGATAGCCATATGTGGATGATGGATGGATTTTGTACAGAGACAGAGAGACATGTCAAAAGCCTAACAGTGTTCCCAGAATCAGTTATAAATTCTGGGCTGATTTTTATTGCTCTGCCATCAGTCTTGTGCCAGATGCTGGCAGTTTTTTTATTCAGTGTATTGCAAAGTGATTGCAGGAATAGTTTTTTAGGTTAGAGGGGAAGAGTAGCATAGGAGGCAGGTATTTACATGTTGTGATGTGGTGGACACATACGTTATAAATTTAGTTGGCCTTTGTAGACAGTTGCTCTATTGTCTTCTTTATATTACTACAAACCTACTGCCACAGTGATATGATGTTGCTCTTCTGTACTTTTCATTGCATGTCAAAACTTTTATAAGGAAACTTTTCTAATTGTATTGAATCAAGACTACTGACCCTCAGATTGGTTACACAATATAATTCCTTTAGAATAAATGGTAACAACATCTTTATTTTTAATTAATTTAATTAATTTATTTATTTTGAGGAAGACTGGCCCTGAGCTAACATCTATGTCCATCTTCCTCTACTTTATACATGGGACGCCTGCCACAGCACGGCTTGCCAAGCAGTGCATAGGTCTGCACCCAGGATCCGAACTGGTGAACCCTGGGCCACTGAAGCGGAACATGAGAACTTAACCGCTCCACCACCGGGCCAGCCCCATAACATCTTTATTTTTGCAGAAAGGTAACAGTTTTACTGTGGGGAAGTGAAATGATCAGAGGAAACAATCATCCAAGCAATTTATATTAAAGAACAGAAAACAAAAAGAGGAGAAAAGGAATGTTTTATCAGACATAATCATATATTAGTGAAAAGCAGATTTTGACAAAAACAAAAAATCCAGATAATTGTCTAAGTTTTCACATCTGGACATCACATCTGGACAAACATTCAACTATTTCATTTAACGCAAAAATGTGAATTATTACTTAAAAAGCATTACTAAGAAGTAAAACCATCTCCATTTGAGATGACATGATCTTGTGTATAGAAAATACTAAGGAAGCCACTAAAAACTATTAGAACTAATGGGAAATTCAGTCGGGTTGTGGCATACAGGATTGATATATAAAAATCTATATATTATATGTATATATGAGTATATAATCTATATATAGTCTTGAAATGAAAAATCCAAAAATGGAATCAAGAAAACAATTTCAGGGGCTGGCCCCGTGGCCGAGTGGTTAAGTTCGCGCGCTCCGCAGCAGGCGGCCCAGTGTTTCGTTAGTTCGATTTCTGGGCGCGGACATGGCACTGCTCATTGAACCATGCTGAGGCAGCGTCCCACATGCCACAACTAGAAGAACCCACAACGAAGAATACACAACTATGTACCGGGGGGCTCTGGGGAGAAAAAGGAAAAAATAAAATCTTTAAAAAAAAAAAAAAAAAAAGAACAATTTCATTCACAATAGCGTCAAAAAGAATAAAATGCTTAAGAAAAAATTTAATAGAACAAGTACAAAACTAATACTCTGAAAGCTACAAAACATTGTTGAAAGAAACTAATGATCTAACTAATTAGAAAGAGATCCTGTGTTCACAGATTGGAAAACTTAGTATTGTTAAGACGGCAATACTCCCCAAACTGATCTATAGATTCAACACAATTCCTATCAGGATACTTCCTTGTAGAAACTGATCCTAAAATGCATATAGAGGGGGCCAGCCTGGTGGCACAGGGGTTAAGTTCGCATGTTCCGCTTCTCATGGCCCGGGGTTCACCAGTTCAGATCCCGGGTGTGGACATGGCAATGCTTGGCACACCATGCTGTGGTAGGCGTCCCACTTATAAAGTAGAGGAAGATGGGCACGATGTTAGCTCAGGGCCAGGCTTCCTCAGCAAAAAAGAGGAGGACTGGCAGTAGTTAGCTCAGGGCTAATCTTCCTCAAAAAAAAAAAAAAAAAATACATATAGAAACTCAAAGTACCTCAAATAGCCAAAGCAATTTTGAAAAAGAACAAAATTGGAGAACTCACATTTCCCAGTTTCAAAACTTACTACAAAGCAACAGTAATCGAGAGAGCATAGTATTGGCATAAGGATAGACATGTAGATCCATAGAATAGAATTGAAAGTCCAGAAATAAACATCACATATCTATGATGAATTGATTTTCAATAAGGGTTCCAAGACTATTCAATGAGGAAAGAAGAGTCTTTTTGACAAATAGTGCCAGAACAACTGGATACCCACCTCAAAAAGAATAAAGGTGGATTACTACCTCATACTCCATGTGAAAATTAACTTGAAATGTATTAGAGACTTAAACAGAAAAGCTAAGACCATAAAACTCTTAGAAGAAAACATAGGGATAAACCCTCATGACCTTGAATTTGGCAATGGTTTCTTAGATATGATACCAAAAATGTGAGCAACCAGAAAAACAAAAGGATAGATTAAACGGACTTTATCAAATTAAAAACTTTTGTGCTTCAAACGACACTATCAAAAGAGTGAAAAGACAATTCTCAGAAGGAGAGAAATTACTTGCAAATCATATATCTGATAGAGGGACTGTATCTAGAATATAGAGAAGACTCCTACAACTCGACACTAAAAAGAAAAGAAAAATAACCCAGTTAAAAAGATGGGCAAAGGATATGAATTTCACCAAAGAAGACATATAAATGGCTAGGCACATGAAAAGATGTTCAATGCCATTCATTATTAGTGAAATGCAAATCAAAACCACAGTGAGATACCACTTTTCATCCACTAGGGTGGCTATAATCAAAAAGTCAGATAGTAACAAGTGTTGATAAGGATGTGAAAAAGTTGGAATCCTCATACACTGCTGGTGGGGATGTAAAATGGTGTAGACACTTTGGAAAGTAGTGTGGCAGTTCCTCTAAAATTCAAACATGGAGTTACCATTTGACCCAACAATTCTACTCCTATGTATGTATTCAAGAGAAATTAAAACATATATACACAAGACATGTACACCAATTTTCACAGCAGCATTATTCATATTAGCCAAAGGGTAGAAACAACCCAAATGCACATCAACTAGTGAATGGATAAACACAATG